GATCTGGGTCTTTAAATCAAATAGCACCACCCACTATTTTTGGCAAATTCCATATCCCTCATCGGAATTTGAGAGTTTTGGAGGAAACTCTTAGTAGGGTATGGGAGACTCACCATTACCAAGCCCACCTCACAATGATATGATGTTGGGTAGCATCAATAATAATGAGAGAGTACGCTTACTCATTTGCAACTTTTGCAAGTACCCATCTTATTTGGCCTCTAGAGAATGAAGCCTCACAATGATATGATGTTGGCTCCATTGCACTTAGTTCAGTTATTCCCACCATGCAAGTTCGAGTAGGGGTTCAAGAACAACCTCACAATGATATGGTGTTGATCATTCTCATTGCCTACCTTCACATCATCATGTATGCATATAGAACTCCTCCTGAGTGTAAGCACGCACTTTGTACTCCCCCATGATAGGGTGAAGTCGGTGTACGAGTCACAAACGATCGGAGCCTACCACAGTGGAAGGCCACGAAAGAGTGTTCAAAGCACTCTCACGCTTATCAACTTAATAATGGTTTGGTTGAGGGTTTTAGGTCTTGATAGGAGCATATTTATGCGACTTAGTTAGCTTGTTCTTGTGCATTTATGTTGTTATTTCTTAGTCAATTATGTATTTTAAGCTATTTTTGTGTGTTTGTAGGTTCAAATAACAAAGTTAGCAACAAAGTGCTATTTGGAGCATTTTGGAGCATTTTTGGGCCAAGATTGGATAGTGCAAGCATGGAGACATGAGGATGGACGTTTTTGAAGATTTGAAGGCTAGAAATCAGCATGTGTGTGTGCAAGTGTGTTGACCTACAACTCCAAACATCCATCCACTACACCCAACATCCTCTCATTACCAAACATCCATCCACTACACCCATTACATCCACTCATTACCAAACACTCACTCACTACACCCATTACATCCACTCATTACCACAACATACACCACTACCACCTTAATTAGATGGTGGTCCTCTCCCTATCCTATAAATACATCCACCCTTCACCATAACAAGAGGGAGGAGAAAAAGATCCATTAAAAAGACATTACATTCACATCTCACAACTCTATACACTTACACTTTCATTCCTTGGCTGGGAAAACACAATCCACCCATCCACCCTTCACCATAACTCACCTATATCCATCCACCACCATAATTTACCACTCATCCATCAAACCACACCTTGTGCCGTAACAAAGAGAAGAAGGAGGACCCTTGGACGTGCTTGCCATTCAAGTTGGATTGTTGGAGCGTTTTTAGGTGTTTTCATTCTTTTGTTTTCAATGTCTAAATTTGTTTATCTTTGCTTAGTGAGTATGAGAACTAAACCCCCCTTAGCTAGGGGGGAATTCGAAACCATGTTCATGCTTGCAATATGATTTGATTACCTTCAGTTGTGATTTCATAAGTTGTGAATTCAATTTGTTTAACTGCTTGATTGATAACTTATTCTTGTATGTTTATTAAGAGTGCACACTTAGTTTGCATGCATGAATATGATGCTAAAGTATAAGGGAGCTTCACCTAATAGTTACAAACTTATATTCACAAGTAGTGGAGGTCGCTTATACGATCGCGTTAAATAAGGCAGGAGTTTCATGCTCATCATAGTAACGAATGCCTCGTCAATACTTATAGTTTTCATAATGCTTAATGATCTTTAATTGTATCTTTATTATGCTGTTCACGTAAAGAACTTTTGAAGAATGCTTGAATTGTTGTATGCGCTTTCCCATCCAATTCAATAACTTAAGGAGAACTTGAAGGTTAATTTAAGCGGACTTAATTAACCTGGGGTGTTGAGTTTCATGATTGATCGAAAGAACAACTGAAAATTGTTTTATGTGCAAGTATGTCATGTGTGGAGAAGAACCTCCTAGCTAGCCTTCCATCCATTCAATTTACTCAAATTCGTGCACATTTCATTAGTTCTTTAATTTACTTGTTTTGTTTTCAAATTCGTCAAAACCAAAACCCCCTTACTTTAAAGTGTTTTATTAGTTAAAATCTGTTTTGATTTGTGTTTTTAGGTGTCCCAAAAGTGTGTTAGAGTCCAAATCTGCCCAGTTTGTGTTTTTAGGCAGATTTGAGCGTTTTTAGCTTGTTTTGAGTCATTTGAGTTTGTTTTAAGTTCTTTGAGTCTAGTTTAGTGTTTTTAACTTTGTTTATATGTTTTTAAGTCAGTTTAGAGGTTTTAGCAAGCCCTCATAATCCTTGGCTTAGAACGATCCCTACTTGCATTTATACTACAATTTGACAACAAGAGGGTTTAATTTATGTGTTAAGTTAATTTTTGCACCAAATTTTTTGCACCGTTGCCGGGGATTAGCAATTTTGCTAATCCCTTGTTATTTCTTTTTGTTTATTTTCATGTGTTTTTGTTCCTAGTTGCTGACTTTACTTGTTTTAGGTGGTTTATGACTAGAAGTTCTCAACCTATTCATAAGCACATCCGTGACTTTGACGATGATTTTGAACGAACTTTGAGACGAGCAAGGAATCAACAAGAACCCCAACCATCTCAACCTGTACCAAATCTTGGAGAAGACAAAGTAGAAGAGCAAGAGGAGCCCACGACACAAGTTGTAGAGGAAGATCCTAACATGGTAGCGGACAATCGAACAATCAAGGAGCTTTCCGCTTCAGGATTGGACAATGCCGCTCCCCTATGCATCCAATACCCTGTGGCTGCCCTAGGGCAGACGAACGAGTTCGAATTGAAATCAAGTTTGTTGCATCGCATTCCTAAGTTCCACGGGATGTCCATGGAAGATCCTAATAAACACTTGAAGGAGTTCGAGGTTGTTTGTTCGAGCATGACCCCTGTAAATGTTGATGGAAGCATTCTGAAAATGAAGGCTTTTCCTTTTTCTCTCTTAGAAAAGGCTAAAGATTGGTTGTAAAAGCTAGCCTCCGGAACTGTCACATCACGGGAGAGTATGAAACGAGCATTTTTGGAGAAGTTTTTCCCAACTTGTCAAGTCATTCTACTACGCAAAAGGATTAGTGGCATTCAGCAAAACCAAGGTGAGTCATTTCTCACTTACTATGAGCGTTTTAAAACCCTTGTTGCTTCATGTCCACAGCACCAGATGAAGAATGAGCTTATTCTTCAATATTTCTACGTAGGGCTTCTACCAATTGAACGCCAAATGCTAAACGCCTCAGCAGGAGGAGCTTTGGTGGACAAAACACCCATGGTTGCATAGACTTTAATTGCTAACCGAGCGTTGAATGCTCAACAATATGAAGGCGTTGGTCAAAGGGACACCCCACGGCAGCAAGTGAATGAGGTAAGTTATACATCCGACATTCAATCGTAATTAGCTAATCTTACTTCCATTGTGTCTCAGATGGCCGAAGGAATGAGGATGAAAGAACCAAATGTATGTGGTGTGTGTTCTATCCAAGGACATGCCTCTGAAAAGTGCCCTCAATTGATTGAAAATGGTGGATGGGAAAGCGCCAATGCAATTGGATTTCAAGGCCAAAACCAGCCAAGGAACGATCCATATTCTAATACGTACAATCCAGGTTGGAGAGACCATCCGAATTTCAGGTGGATGGAGCCCCAACAACCCCAACAACAAGGAGGCTTTAGGCAGCAACCTCCGGGCTTCGATACCAAACAATACGCACCAACACAAGCCCCACAACAACCTGCCCAAAATACCTTAGGTACATCTTTAGATAATGAGACACTTCTTAAGTTACTCACCAATTTGTCTCAGGGGCAAGAAAATCAAGCCAAAGCAATGCAAAACCAAGACAAAAAGGTGGACCAAATGGAGAAGCAAATTGGGCAGATTGCGGAGTTTGTAGGACAATTTAGAGAGCAAGGTAAGTTGCCTAGTTCGACTCTTGTCAACTCAAAGGGAGGATTTGAATCTGCAAAAGCCATGAGTTTGCGAAGTGGAAAACAAGTTGGATCTGATCCCCAACCGTCCAATCCACGTTCCAACGAGGTTGAAGAGTTGATAATTGAAGAGGAGGAGCAAAGCATCCCCACGGCAAGGGTGGAAACATCTTTACCGTAGGCCCCAAAAGCTCCCAAACCATCCAAATTGGCCAACAAAGGTAAAAAAGTTCCAATTTTGATTAGTTCTAACGTTGTTCCTCCAAATGTACCCTTTCCTCATAGGTTTATGCAATCAAAGAAGGAGGAGGCTGAAAATGATATTTTGGAAACGTTTAGAAAAGTTCAAGTCAATATACCACTTTTGGATGCAATTAAGCAAGTTCCAAGGTATGCCAAGTTTTTGACAGAACTTTGCACAACTAGGAAGAGAATTTCGAGCAAGGAGGTTGTCAAGGTAAGTGAAAATGTCTCAGCTATTTTACAGCGTAAACTGCCCACTAAATGCAAGGATCCGGGTAGTTTTACCATTCCTTGTGTAATTAGGAATACTTGTTTTGAATCTGCCATGCTAGACTTAGGTGCATCTATAAATGTCATGCCTTATTCAATCTATGCATCTATGCACTTAGGCGAATTGAAAAAGGATGTTGTGATTATACAATTGGCCGATAGATCTAATGCCTATCCAAAGGAAATTTTGGAAGATGTTTTAGTGCAGGTCAATCACTTAGGGCTGGTTTGGTATTGCTGTGCTTTGAAAAAAAGCTGCTGTGAGAATAAGCGGCTATGCTGTAAGAATAAGCGGCTGTGCTGTGAGAATAAGCGGCTGTGAAATAAAGCAGCAAAGTGTTTGGTAAACTTTTTTGTAAAAGTGCTTTTGGAAAAAAAAGCAATATGATAGTGCTTGGTAAACTTTTATGTAAAACAGCTATGACTGTGTGAAATGACCAAAAAGGGTATAATACTAGATGTGCTATTAATTTAATTTTCTTAACAAATAAAAGTGAATTACTAAATATACTTTATTTAAAAAAAATATTTATAAACTTTATCTTAAATATTAATTAGTATGACAAACTCCTTCAATTGAAATATTTTAGATTGAATAACTAGGATTCATTAGTACAATTAATGTACTTGAAAGTAGTCTAATTAGATGCATTCATCAAATGCTATTGTAAACTTTTCATAGCATTTTCCAAATGCTGTTATAGCTTTTTATAGCATTCTTGTACAATCCATAGCATCTGGTAGCATATAGGAAACAACTATAGCAGTTATGGAATCATTGTACAATCACATATCACTTCGAAACACTAACTAAACCAAGAAATTGAATCATTTACAACTATATGATCTCTCTATTTTTTATACAAAGAGAACTGAACTAAGCAAATACAACCATATACTCAAATTTTCGTCTATGCTCTTTTAACCACTGCAGCAACTTCACTTTCATTTCTCACTCACTGTAATAATAGAAATTCACTCAATGATAAAAATCCTTCATAATAGACCACATATTATCAGCATAAGCAGACAATTTTCGCTTGGCGGAAGCTGAACAAAAAAAAAAAAAAACAACTAGAGCGAAATTCACCAATATGACCAAATCCGATTGCAAGCAGCAACAGTTGATACAATCTAATAAGGTTAATCAAGAGTCATTATTGAGACATACAAAAGTCATTAATCAAGAGTCATTACTGAAAAACCCTAAAGAAAATGCAATCACATAAACTCTAATCACACCAGATAGATTATGCAACACATGAATAACCAATTAGATGTTTACAATCAGAACAACCCTCCCTTAGATCTACCACTCAAAATCCAGTGTGCATTTCGCAGCTTCTTTCTAATCATACGAAGATGCAGCAACACAGCTATTCAGTTTACACATTCTACTAACTTAAATTCACTCCACTTTGAGCTAACATCCCATTCCTTAAGCACCTCGGACAGGATCCTCCACAAGTCCTGTAACTCATATAGCTCGGCAGCTCTTCGTTTAACTATAGTCCAATCATACAGTCAGAAGGAAATCCATAGACCCCAAATCAGAATATGAAGCAACATAAGCAAGTATCATGCACTCAATCAAATACTAAATTACTAATCCCAGATCCAAGCATAGAAATCAAATACCCATCATCAAAATCTATCACATACACAAATTTGACGATACGGGTCGAGATATCAGCTTATTCTACAAATCCACCAGCTCCTAAACCCCTAAAAACCAAAATCTCCATATCAGATTCACCTAAATATGCACACAATCATTAACATCCCAGCATAATATACACAATATCATTAATCCCATATCAGATCCACTTATTTATACACAAATTCCAAAATCCATGATCAAGTTCACCTAAATACGCACAAAGTCGAAAACCCAATTATCAGATTCACTTAAAACACACACAAAATCAGAAACCCACAGCCAAAATCACCCACAAATAACTATACAGTAACTAAAAAACTGAGTTATTAGGCAGGAAACTAAGATCAGATACGAACTTACACGCTGAAAGTGCCGGAAACAATGTCGTTAGTAGAGCGCACCGCAGATTCGAGATCGAATCCAAGTCCCAAAGAAGAGCTCTAGTCAGTGGATTATGAAGCGGCGTAGGAGTTCCAATTGGCTAGCAAAGAAGACAACGACGGCTTCTGCGAGTCGTCGCCGCCGCTGCCGGTCTGTGAAAACCATTCCTGCCCCATCTTCTGCATTGTGAAGAAGCTTCGCCGTGGAATCGGGAAAGGGTAGGATTGCCAGAAAATTTCATTAAAGGGTCACTGTTTACCCACATTTGAGAGGTTTGCGCAGAAGCCGAAAAGCTAGTTTTTCAAAGCTGCCTTGCAGCTTCCCATTTTTAACTTTTTTTCATGAAACTTTGAAAAAAAGCTGGTTTATGGTGTTTACCAAACATAAAAAACACTCAGCTTTTTTTCATAGGAGCGTTTTTTAAAATCACCTCAACCCCAAACTGGGGCTTAATCTTTCTGGCGGATTTCTACGTGCTTGAAATGGACGAGTCGGACCACTCCCCTACATTACCCATCCTCATTGGACAGCCATTCATGAAAACTGCCCGTACTAAGATTGATGTGTTTAATGGAACTTTGACGATGGAATTTGATGGGGAAGTTATCAATTTCAATCTTTCTGATTCTATCAAGTATCCTAGTGAGGATCACTCATGTTTTTCTATTGATGTATTTGCTTCTTTGGCGCAGGACCATTTTGAACAATTGAATAACGATGCACTTGAATTGGTCATTGCACGAGGAATGGACATTCAAAACAATGAAGTAGTAACCATACATCCCCACGGCATGAATGATTTTTCCCTTGCCGTGCCCCCTAATGAAGAAGTGATTGAGATGGTGGTTGCCCTCGAATCATTGCCACTACAATCTGGGAAGTTTTTGGACCCAATATCCATTTCAGTTTTGACTAATAAGTTACTTCCTTCAGTTGTGCAGCCACCTACACTTGAACTTAAGCCATTGCCAAGCCATTTAAAGTACGTTTTCTTGGGCGATGATGAGACGTTGCCCTTCATCATCTCAAGCACACTCACGGCACAAGAGGAGAACAAGTTGGTAAGGGTGCTAAAGGAGTACAAAATAGCAATTAGGTGGACATTGGCCGACATAAAAGGAATCAGTCCAACCACTTGCATGCATCGTATACTTTTGGAGGAGGGGTCTAAAACATCTCGAGAAGCTCAACGCCGACTCAACCCTCCGATGATGGAAGTTGTGAAGAAGGAAATAATCAAGCTTTTAGATTGTGGAGTGATCTATCCTATTTCCGATAGTCGTTGGGTTTTGCCTATTCAATGTGTCCTAAAGAAATCCGGAGTAACTGTGGTGACAAATGCTGAAAATGAGCTTGTGCCTACTCGAATCCAAAAAGGTTGGAGGGTGTGTATAGATTACAGGAAGCTAAACGCCACCACTAAGAAGGACCACTTCCCTTTGCCATTCATTGATCAAATGCTTAAGAGAGAAGTTTGTTCTTTTCTTGGACATGCAGGTTTCTATCGAAGATTTATCAAAGATTTCTCAAAGGTTTCCCAACCTCTTTATCGTCTCCTTAAAAAAGATATGGCATTTGACTTCAATAAGGATTGCACGACATCCTTCAAACAACTCAAGGAGTTGCTGACCACAGCTCCCATTATTGTTCCATCGGATTGGAGCCTTCCTTTTGAGCCCATGTGTAACGCATCCGATTATGCTTTAGGAGCTGCTTTAGGACAAAGAAAGGATAAGAGGCCGCATGTCATCTACTATGCTTCACGGACATTGAATGATGCCCAATTAAACTATTCCACAACGGAAAAAGAACTTCTTGTCGTTGTCTTTGCTTTAGATAAATTTCGATCACATTTAATTGGTACTAAAGTAATTGTTTTCACTGATCATGCAGCTTTAAAATATTTGCTCAGCAAGAAGGAGGCCAAGCCAAGACTAATTCGATGGATATTGCTTCTCCAAGAGTTCGACATTGAGATTCAAGACAAAAAGGGAATTGAAAACGTGGTGGCTGACCACCTAAGCCATATGATGCATAATGAAGAGGCCCTACCCATTACTGAAACGTTTCCTGATGAACAATTGATGTCCATTAAGGTAAGTGAACCTTGGTATGCTGATTTGGTAAACTTTTTGGTGTCTAAACAAATTCCAAGCACTCTCACTAGACACCAACGTGATAAGCTTAGAAATGACGCACGGTTTTATATGTGGGATGATCCATATTTGTGGAAATATTGCCCGGATCTGATTATTCGTCGATGTGTGCATGATTCTGAGTTTCATTCCATTTTAAGCTTTCGTCATACATATGCATGTGGTGGTCATTTTGGCACACAAAGAACAGCACTTAAGGTGTTACAATGTGGGTTCTATTGGCCTAGTATCTTTAAGGATGCTAGAATTTTTTGCTTAACATGTGATAAATGCCAAAGAACATGAAATATAAGTGCAAGGGATCAAATGCTGCAGGTTTCCATCCTCAATGTTGAAATTTTTGACGTTTGGGGTATTGATTTTATGGGTCATTTCCCTTCCTCACATGGCTTCCTTTATATCTTACTTGCTGTGGATTATGTATTGAAATGGGTGGAAGCAAAAGCCACCTGAACTAATGATTCTCGAGTGGTTGCAGATTTCATTAGAACTAACCTATTTGTAAGATTTGGAATGCCAAGAGTAATCATAAGTGATGGAGGTTCTCACTTTTGCAATCGAACCATTGAGGCACTATTGAGGAAGTACAATGTCAAACATAAGGTTTCAACACCTTATCATCCTCAAACCAATGGGCAAGCCGAGGTGTCTAATAGGGAGATCAAACAGATTCTAGAGAAGACCATTGGGCCAACAAGAAAGGATTGGAGCTTGCTTTTAGAGGATGCGTTGTGGGAATATCACACGGCATATAAAACACCCATTGGCATGTCCCCATTTCGGCTCATCTATGGCAAACCATGCCATCTTCCCATAAAATTGGAGCACAAGGTGCATTGGGCCGTCAAAACATTCAACATGGACCTTGACGCTGCTGGAAGTCATAGAAAGCTCCAATTAAATGAACTTGAAGAGATTAGGCATGAGGCTATGAAAACGCCTGAATTTACAAGGAGAAGACGAAGGCTTTCCATGACAAGATGATTCGAGGTAAATCATTCTCCATTGGGTAGAAAGTGTTACTCTTTAATTCCCGCATTCGCTTGTTTCCTGGTAAGTTGCGTTCCAAATGGATTGGTCCTTTTTTGGTTACTAATATTTTTCCTCATGGTGCAGTCCAAATACAAAGTTTGAAGATGCAACAAGAATTCAAGGTAAATGGGCATCATTTGAAGCCCTATTATGAGGCCTTTGAGGAGCATGTCGTGGAGAATGTACCCCTCCATGCCATGGGCTTTATTCAAGCTTAAATAGAGGTATAGTCCGGCTGGAAGACGTTAAAGCAAGCGCTTTTTGGGAGGCAACCCATGTATTCAAATAAGGAAGTTTTTTGAATCGCTCCACAATTAGTTTTGCGTTTCTAAAAAACCTTCCCTTTTCTGCATTTTTATTTTGCCTGATTGTCATTTTTTAAATTTATTTGTTAGTTGCTTATTTAATTATTTTTGGGTTTGGATTTATTTTTGAGACATTGACAGATATGCAAGGTATTTTCACATTAAAATTCGTGGAAAAGAAATAGGAGACAGAAAAATACAAGAGGGAGCCTTCACAAAGGTTGTTTGGGAGAAGTCTCAGTAGTCGGCGGAGCCTCAGCAGTCGGCAAAGCCACAGAAAAATGAGGTATCAGAGGTTGATCATTTGGAGCTTCACTACGCGGTACAGCCGCAGAAGATGAAGGCAAATGCTGTTGGAACAAACCCACAAACCTCTGATGATCAAGTAAAATCAGACCATCAGATTCCTGCATCTGGTCCATTTTCCTTTTCATGTTTGTGGCATAGTTGTGTGCGAGCTTGTGCAACTATTTATTCTTATGCTTGAGCCCTCTAATCTCCTGTTTGAGACTCATCACTTCAGCCGCCAACGATTCAACTTGACGGGTTCGAGCAAATAGGCGTTGGGCCATATTGGACACAGAACCGGCACACTGCATACTAAGAGCCAGAGAATCCTTAGCAGCCAACTCATCAGACCGTTTGGAAAGCAATCTGTTATCTTTAGGAGTGACAAGGTTCCGGGCCACCACCGCAGCAGTCATGTCATTCTTCATCATCGAATCCCCAACGGTAAGAGGACCAGTAGGGGATATGAAAGATGGGTGCCATATGTTGTCTTGAGAAGGCATGGCAGCCTCTTCACCAAGGTTCAAGTCAAAACGACGGTCGGAAGGGCCAAACATTTTCAAAGGTGTTGAAGAAAGAAGAGGTCGGACAAGTCAAGATATTAGAAGTGCAAGAAGGGAGTTTCTACAAGTGCAAATTCAAGTGTGCTTTGAAATGAACTGCGTACCTCTATAAAAATCAACACTCGACGGAATTTCAGATATTGAAGAGGCGAGCTCAGAATTCAAAGAGGCCAATTCAAAGATCGAAGAGGCGCTAACTTTCTCAAAAGTTGGGCTTACTCAGATACCACGGGCCATCATCTGTTCTAGATTTGTCCGCACTCGTCATATGCAACCTCTGCACTCGACGGAACTCAGAACTCGAAGAGGCAAGTTCAAAACTCGAAGAGGCAAGCTCAGAAATTGGAGAGCCATCTGCTTTTCTAGACGTGTCAGCATCTCTCACATGCACGCTCAGCTTTGCGGAAATCACGGGCAGTTTTTCGAAGCACTGATTCCAGATATCGAAGAGGCATCTGTTTTATCCAGACGTGTCAGTCTTTGTCACATGCACACTCAGCCTTGCAAAAATTATGGGCAATCTGTTGAAGATCTCTTATGAAGTAGAAAGCACGTGAAGTTCACTATTAAATCATCCAACGGTTGCTGACAAGAGTGAAAGAATGGTACCAGTTATTAATTCTTATAAATGTCACCCTTCACCCTTCATTGCAAGGCAGACATACATAACCCTTCTTCTTTTCCAAGAATGCATTTCCAACAAACCCTCTCAAGTCACTCAGTGTTCCTTATTCCTTGGGGTACCTCTGCAAACAACTCATCCAAAGCAAAAGTATTTCATATCATGAAGGTTGAAAGCAAGAGTATCTCATATCATGCTTTCTCCCTGTCGTTCTCCTTGTCGTTATTTTGGGACAAGGAGAAAGAGAGCAATCAGCCAGCACTTGGTATCAATCTTCCGATCTGGAATCGACTGCCTGGAACCCTTTCCTGATTGCTTACCTAGCCTTGCTCTCGAGTACTCATCTTCAT